ACTCCCACGCTGTGTAAATATATATATATATATATATATATATATATATATATACTTCAGTGTAAACAGTATGACAAATTTCTAATGCTGCATGGTAAATACTGTCACATACTGTAACCCAGCCATATTTGGGACACATTTCATTTGTGATTGTTCTTGTGGAGAGATTGAAAGACAAGCGAAAAGAGGGACAGCAAAACAAAAAGGCATTTGAGAGTGAAGAGGTGCCGTCAGCCTGGAATAACATAAAAAACATGCAAATAACACACAAAGCAAAAACAGCAGCACACCGACACCCCACACACACACATATAAACACATACAGCCCAGTACAGCGACACACTGTGTCACTGTCCAGAAAAACCCTCTCCTGGAAAATCTGAAGTATCCCCTTCACTCCTCCATCTTTCCCGTGTCTCGCCTGTCCCACACACTGACACAGCGGTGACGTCAATTATTCATTGGACATCAAAAAGAGGAGGAAAACTAAATCCAGTCAAGCAGAACAAGCAAGGAAAGAGAATCACAAATGAAACCTTTTTAAAGACAACATGAGATCCCAAACCCATTTCACCCCCATCATTTGAATATGAGCACCAATACACACAGTGTTTGTGTCCCACTTCTCATGCTCTAGAGCAGATGTCAGTGCTGGGGGAAATGGAAACCTGGAGTGGAGTTCGAGCGGAGTGCTTTTAGAGCAGTGTGGGAAACTGCTGTCGCCCCACTCACTTTACATACTCCACGCTTTGGCAAACCCAACTATGGAAACTATGAAACTCAACTATGGAGACGGCTCTCAAAGACAGCAGAGATATTGTTCAGCTCAAGTCAGTTCAGATCAATGACAGTGTGAGGTTAATCGATCAGCTGTAGGCAATAGGCAGCAATCTTAATATTCATCTTTAGTCGGTTCATTGTTGATTCAGTTCAGTTCAGTAACAGTGTCGATGCTGCAAGATGTGATTCAGCTGTAAAGCAGCTCAGTAGCAACTCAACAGCTTAATTCCGGTCAAGTTTTCTTCTCATCTGGTGTCGGTGCAGACATATCAATAAATTACTGAACGTTAAGTGTTTAAGCCCCAGCTAAGCAGGCAAAGCAGACCTCCTTGCATTATTGTCCTTTTGCATTATTGACACACTATTTTCCCATTTAATACTGTAAAGCTGCTTTGACATAATCTGTATTGTTAAAAGTGCTATATAAATAAAGGCGACTTGACTTGACTTGACCTCCTAGACCTAGACATGCTTCTCCTGTGCTGTGATTGGCCAAGTCTGCGATCAAAAGTAAGACAGATCTTAAATTTTTCCAATAGTGTTACCAAATGGTATGAATAATGACTCATGTTTTGTAAGACTCCATGTGTGTCATTAGTCAGGTAAAAAGTCCACTCCAGTGAGCGAATGTTACTGGGATGCTTGGACAAACAGACCAGTGTTCTGATTATGAACTGCTTACATTTTACAAAAGAATCAATATAGGATTGGCTCTTTACTGTGGGATCTGTGTTTTAAGCTGGGATATGAAAAAGTATTGTAACACTAAAAACTGGAATGCTTCCCCTTTACATAAAAGAGTCTAAATGAAATTAATAAATGAAAGGAGCAACCACTAGGAAACAACATTTAAAGGAATACAATTGCATATTTACACGGAGCTTCAGATTCTTCTTGTGCTCACGGTATCATGCTGTGTCTCCGTTTCTCACCATCTGCGTGTGTTAAAGCTCGCTCATGGCCGCTTGTTTCCAAGAGACATTTCATGCCAATTTATGGAAAGTACCCAGCACCCACCTCACTCTCTCCTACAAACACTCCTTGAGTAATCTGGCATGGAAAAACTTACTACAGCTCCAGCACAGTCCTGCCGGACAGACGCGCAGTGCTGATGTGAACACAGCCAGACCAGAACCTTTACAGAAAACACACACCCAAACCTACAGAGCGGCCTGAATGCCTCACAACGCACAATAACCACCAGGCCTCAGGATGAAGTGTGCATTAGGAAAGGGCATCTTGTTTATTCATGATTGCTCCTTGTTGTCAGTTCCCATCTCTAATGCACATCACCATACACTCCTCTGTCTTTCTGCTTCCCTGCTCGTTCTGAGTTGACAGCCTCATTCAGAGTTTAGCAGAGACAGACCTCACACATCTCTCCAGCAGCACAGCATGTCCCTTCGCTCTCTTTGAGAAGAGGTGCTTACCTCCTTCACTGGTGCTGACGCTCATCCAGCCCGTCCAGTTGGAGACGCCCTCGCTGCTCCGGCAGGCCAGTCTGAGATCATAGCGGCTGAAGGCCTCCAGAGCTGAGATCAGACGGCTGGTGACGGGCGTGCTGACCGTCTGACTGGAGATGAACTCATCAGAGTCTTCACCAGAAGCTTTAACCTGAAAGATATTTAACAACATGGTTTTTAGTGACATCTATGACAGGGATGAAGATCTCCTAGGGGCCTCATGGAACAGATTTTTAAACGATCAAACCCTTTCGTTATTTGCAAATATACATTCAAAATATTAAAATAGAGAAGCCCTTTTTCAGTTCACACTTCAGCAAATCTCACTGTACAAACAATCAGTATATTGAATTGCCATCTTGTTTCTGTGGACATTTTTTTTTATTATTTGTTGCCTTGGTGCTTTGTTTCTTCAGTAAATATCTTGCATATGAGAGTGTGCGGACTTTTTTCAAGTATTTACTTTTGGAAAATTATTTTAAGAAATGAGGCCAGAAGAATGTTTGGTGTTTTGACACACGGGAAACGACCACTGATCATTTGAGTGAAATGTGTGACATTCACTTTCTGTTCAGGACAAAGAAGAAGCGATCACTTCCCCTTTCCCCAGGATCCTGTGCTGGTGTCAGACTAAATGCAGGAATATTCAGCATAAAATATGACTTACAAGTTTGCGTGTAAATACATTTTTGTCACATTTCTTGTTGGTAAGTTACCAGGTTTACATGTGTGACATGAGAGAAAAAAGACACACTTCTCCTGTAAGTTATACTGAGGCCAGAATATTCCTATAATACATAAACACATAAGCATGTAGTCTGCAGTCTTCCTGAGCTGATCTTTGGCACACACACACACACACACGCACACACGTATTTCTGTTGAATAAAGTCATCTCCAGCTGGAGACAAACAGCGGGACACATGAAAACAGCTTGCTCTGCACCAGAAACATGCTGCCGATGCAACAAACATCAAACACTGACAGAAAACAAACCACCCTCCCGCAGTTATACTGCTTCAAATCACTCTCGGCTGTAGGAATTACAGTAAAAAACTACAGAGAGGAAAGAAAGAGTTGGCTTTAAAAACCAACAAAAGCTTTATTGGTGTGACTGAAAATGATTGCCAGAATTCCATTGAATTCAGGTTGCACACAAGTGTAAGCCAGAAATAAAAAAAAATAAAACAGCCAAAAACAAAGTGTGAATCTCAGAGAAACTCTCTAGAAATGTCTAGGGTCATATTAAAAATAAATAAATTATTCTGATAAATAATGCTAAATAAATCATTCTGGCATGAGCATATCTTGCCTCTCAATTCTCATTCATGTAAAGTGAAAAACAAACAATAGTATATATTTTCAAATAAAAAGTATAATTGTAAGTATACGTCAGAATAGTTCATTATTTTCATTACTTATCATATTCATTTTTTTTTCACTTTACACAGTAAAAAATGATTAACTATATTTGTTTCAAAATATTACGAGCAATATTATAAATTAATTCAAGACATTAGAATTAAATAGAATTAATCAAATGAAATGCTAACAATTAACCATTCAAAATGAGTAAAATAGCATGAAAAATTTAAGTAAAATTCAAACAATATATTGGTTTGGTTTATATTGGTTTCATTGGACAAAAAACAAACCATAAAAAAAACACTATGCTAATAAATACTATGTTATGCATGCCAGGCCAATAGTTGGCGACCAAGAAACACCCTGCGAAAACATTATACGCATGCACATGACATTAACTTTTTCACAAATTCACGTTTTTGTTGATTACATGGAGATGATACAGGCATCGTGTTCAAAAGCTTGTGCTTTCAGGCCCCCTAAACAGAGTTATTGAAGACACCTGATGTTGACAAATAGAATCACTGAAGGAGAAAAATCTAAATTTTAGGTTACCAATTATGGTGGTCACTGATGGCTTTAGTTAAACTCTTGACCCTTTAATATTTTTAACAGTTTTTTTTTGTGTGCTGTAGCTGAGTTATAGCAGCTAGACAAGCCAAGAGAAAATAAGATCTGGTGGTGTTGCTTATATTTTGACATCATCATTTTACCTGAACCTCTGAGTTGGATTTACCTTGATTACAGCCATCCTGTAATTGGACAGTGTAAAGTCTGGAATTTTCTGCATAATCAGAGAGATTTTTAAAAGCTTTTAAAGAATGATTATTAAAATAAAAAAAAAAAACTCTTGATTATACTGAAAATAATTTGTGTGGGTTGTTTCTTGATCGCCAACTATTGGCCTGGCATGCATACCATAGAATTCTTTAGCCTAGTGTTTTTTTTTTGTCCAATGAAACCAATATTTTTGTTTCAATTTTACTTATTTTTTTCATGCTATTTTACTCATTTTGAATGGTTAATTGTAAGCATCTCATTTGATTAATTCTAATTAATTCTAATGTGTTAAATTTAATTAATAATATTTCTTGTAATATTTTGAAACAATTTTATTGAGTAAATATAGTGAATAATTTTTTACAGTGTACAGTAAGCAAATTGAATAAAATAACAGAGGTAGGGAATTGTAATATATGATCTATAAATGTACGACTAGATACACGTGTCTAGTCTTTTCTGTTTTCCTCACATTCCCTGAGGCAGCACTAAAACTGTGCAAAAAACTCCCATCAACACAAACTTCAAACGTCTGCACAATAATACACACAGAGTTATAATGTTTATCCTAATGTAGTGTGATCGGGTGAATGAAAGAACTGACTCATGAATGGTTCAGTGCTGCGGTGCAGAAGAGCAGATGTGTCATAATGCTCAAAGCTGAACGGAGAAGCTGTTCTTCCTGATAATGGTGAAGGATTCATTCTGGAGTGAAGAGTCACACGTGAGTCAGGACTCTGTGATTCAGAGCGGAGTCAATAAACAGAGTGAACAGCGCTGGTCACTGACTCACCGCGCTGCTGAATTCCCCCATGACCGGTCCGTTTATCTAAACGAGCTCAGACCAGCATTCACAATAACCTGAAGCATTTCTGGACTTGAGCTGACAGATGTCCCTATTCATTAGATCATTTACAGTACTTCAATTCAGAGGAGAACAAATTGCTGAAAAGATTAGATGCATGTTTCTTACTTTTTTTTTTTTTGTTTTTTTTTTTGGGGGGGCTGTAATGATTAAAAAGTAAAAATAAAATGAGTAGCCATGCAGTTTTTCAGTAATTACAGTATAACTGGGGCTAAACTTCAAATTGTTCAATTGTTTTCATTAATCGTTTATTAACAGTCAGCAGTGTGATCATTTACTGTAACGCTAGCCAAAGGATGTGGGGGAAAATACATTAATTATGTTAATTCATTTTAAAGCATAAAACAGCACATACTATTTGTAAAATGTAATATATTTTTCTTCCTACACTGAGCAAAAGTATTGCAATATGCTGTATACATAGCAAATATATTATATATCCAGTCTTTTTTCAAAACTTTTTTCTTTTGACTGGGGTTAAATATAACCCGGATATACATACACACACACGAAAGCTTTCAATGGCTGCCAAACCCCTGATTAAACTGTAATAGATTTGCAATGATTTCTTTCTTTCTTTCTTTCTTTCTTTCTTTCTTTCTTTCTTTCTTTCTTTCTTTCTCTCTCTCTCTTTCTCTCATGTCAGTTGAGTTCTGTTAACATTTTCTGGTTCTTCCTTTGCTCTCTTTCTTCCATTTTTACTATCTGTCGGTTCCTCAGGTTTGTGTGTTTAGTCTCAGTTTGTACCGTTGGGTTGTGTGGAGCTGAGGAACAGAGGAGGGGTGCGGGATCAGACACAAGAGCCTGTTTTTATTAGAACCAGGCACTTTGGGGTGGTGCTCAGGCAAAGGGGAGTGTATGACACACACACACTCACACACACACACACACACACACGTCCTAACAGGGCCCCAGAACATGGGGAACTGGGCCTCAGCAGTGAGTGGAACGGGCCTCTCTCGATGTGTGAAATGTGATACTCTACAGCATGATTAAGCAGCATGTGTGTGTAGGGAAAGGGTTCTGACTCACAAAACAGTCAAATGATGCAAACAAACACACACAAATTTTGACACAATCACTCATTCTGGTATTGATCTATTGAAAGATTTTTTTTTTTTTTTTCAGGTACCTGAACAATGCAGTGGCTGATGGGATAAATTCCTCCAAAGCCCATGTGCCAAGACAGACGGATACTTGATTTCGTGATTTCTTCAGCTTTAATGTCATGGGGCTGAGAAGGAAGAACTAGACAAAAAGACAAAAAGTACTGTTTTTACATAAACATTATATAAAAAAAGATAACATTATATATAAAAAGAGCTCAAATCTATTTGTGTTACCACACTTTGGCTACATTCAGACTGCAGCAAAAGATCAAATTTTTTATCTCATTTGAGATTGCACAATCAGCATGGAATCAGATCTTTTGGATTCGAGACAGTGGAGGGACAGTGAGCCATTATTAGCTATACGAGCAGAGCTTGAGTGGTCGTATCCTAAATAATTACAATGTTTGATCTCTTTCCACTCATCCTCGTCTGACTGAACAAGTAAACGCTGATTCAGTGGCCTCTGTGTTTACGTCTGTATGACAACCGTGACCTTTTCACACTGGTATCTGATACTTATTTTAAAAAACAATGTAAGAAGGTTTAAAAAAATTGGCTATGAACAGTAAATCCAAACTGAGCACTAAATCCCAAAGTATACTGTACACAGCCTGTTTTGACCACATTCTATAGCAGTATTGCATACATTCCTCATGGAGAACCCTGAATATATTGTGACAAAATAACAAAGAGAACCAGTGACTATTAATATGAATATACATAAAACTATTTTATGAAAAAAAATGTATGCATATTAAAAAAAGAAAAAAAGAAACAAAAAGTTGATGCTTATTACCGCATCAAAGGCTATAGTGCACTGAAAAACCATGAGCTGTGGACCCACGTGAGTCAAGGTCTTGACTGACCACTTGTTAATGACCGATGCAAACAGGGCCTTGATCACTCTGGACGTCACACTCACCGGTCACAACTCCTGTGCCAGACGACGCCACGCCTTTACGATTGTGCGCTTCACAGGAGAAAGAGCTGGTTTTATTCAAACCTGTTGAGGAGAAAAACACCATGGTTCAGAAAACCAGACCCAAAAAAAAAACTTGTGTTGGGTTGTGTTTGAGTTTCAGAATCTGTTTGTGGATTTATACATGCATTCATTTGGAGAATTAAAAAGAGCTGATTTGAAAATTACTACTTCTGCTTTGCACTGCACTGAAGACACACACTGCACATGCTGACATTCACAGAAACATGAGAGAGAGAGAGAGAGAGAGAGAGAGAGTTCAGCACAAGCCACATTCAGTTTCATCTCATTCTATTTCCTTCCCTAAAAACACAATCTGTCTTCATCAGCACAAATTCAAAAGAAACATTAATTATTTAAGTGTAAACCCATTCACTGCTCAACTAAACACACTTTTGCCACATAATACAACACTGAAAGAACCTCACAGCATCATGATACACTTTCCCACAATAAAATTACTAGTGTGCCTGTGCAAAACTTGTGGCCATGATGTATTGTGGGTGTTTGCTATGTGGTCATTAATGTGTTTTGTGTGATTGATTTGTGTTTTTGCTTTTTAGTTATCTGGAAGAAAAAAAAGTAAAATTAAATACTTTTTTTTTTAATCAAACCCCTGACCATAAGTACAAGCAGCAATAATAGCAAACAGCACTGAATGCTTTAGGGAGTGTTTAACATTCTTCTGCTTTGCACTGCACTGAAGACACACACTGCACATGCTGACATTCACAGAAACATGTCAAATGAAGGCTCTCTTTCTCACACACAGCATTCTTCACACTTTCAGTGAAAATAACTCATGTGTGTCATTGAGGAACACTGTGTGTCCATTGTTGAAAGGCCAAAAAAGTTCAATATCAAGGGTCACCAGATCAAATTCTGATGGACAAGGGCTGAGTGCTGTGTGTGTGTGTGTGTGTGCCTGTGCAAAACTTGTGGCCATGATGTATTGTGGGTGTTTGCTATGTGGTCATTAATGTGTTTTGTGTGATTGATTTGTGTTTTTGCTTTTTAGTTATCTGGAAGAAAAAAAAGTAAAATTAAATACTTTTTTTTTTAATCAAACCCCTGACCATAAGTACAAGCAGCAATAATAGCAAACAGCACTGAATGCTTTAGGGAGTGTTTAACATTCTCCCTGTGATGGCCGGTGTGTGTGAAGCTGCTGCAGTGGCAGAAGGAATGCTATGGACGGAAATAACTGCCATTTTAGTTTATGAAATTCTTCAATGAGTGTGTGTGTGTGTGTATGTGTGTGTGTGTGTGTGTGCAAGCAGAAGTGCCTCATTCCAAAGATGTGAATCCACCACTAATGGTCAGTTATCCATGATGAGTCAAAGCCTCCCTCTCTCTCTTTCTCTCGTCAGCTCAGTACAGCTGGAACAACAACACAGGCTGTATGTGGCACTCTGCTGTGGCAGGTTTTCAAAGGCCTCCTCCTCCTCATTTTTTTCTTCCACTCTTTCTTCCTGTCCGGCCTTCCTCTCATCTCCTGCTGCTCTTTCACTAGTAAGCAAAGGCCAGCGTCTCAAAGGATTATTCCCGTTTGGAAAACATCCAGACAGTCCGCCTGCTTCAGAGACAGAGTGTGTGTGTGTGTGTGTGTGTGTGTGTGTGTGTGTGTGTGTGTGTGTGTGTGTGTTTGGTGTGACCAGTCTTGAAGAAAAAATGTCTTAAAGAACCAGTCTTAAAGAAAAGATTGAGATGTCTAACATGTAATACTAGTCTAAGCAGTTTATGGAACAGGCCTCTGGTTTCTAAATATAAATACAGGACGGGTTACACACCAAAGCTTAATACTCAGCATTAAAGTGATGTGAACAAACCCCTCTTAATGAGCAATATAGCAATAGTACTGATTACACTGGCAAACTGTAATGGCTTTACTGCCCCTTTATTTAGTACTGAAGTGAGCTATTATGTGTAACAGTAACAAGCCGTCACTGTCGGCCTGAAACCTTGTGTCCATGGTTTTGTTCATCATTAGTACAGCCATATTCAAGGCAGTAAGTGCACCGCATCACAGGTTACACAGGATATGGTATCTCTTCAAAGTTTATGGTGAAATGTTCTTCTCCACTCAATGTATCTTCAGATACATAAAACATTATTCTTAAAGACATAGTGTTTCTTCAGTAAAGAAAATGCTGAACTTATTCAAACACTTAATTTCACTGCACTTCATTCAAGTTTGTTTTAGGGTGAGGTTTAAGGTAGAGACCTGCGCGGGACGGATTTTTCCGCAAGATTCTGTCCCCCGCCCAC